TTCTGAACTGTTTCTCAGAGTTCCCTGTTCGCTCCTATCAGCGTACTGGAGTAGGTTTAGTTATGGGGTCTGTCGGCGGCTGATGTTGGCGTTTAGCGTCAGTGCGGAGACCTCAGTGGTCATCTCAGTGATAAGCGTACTTTAGCCAGACGCTGGCAGATTCCAACGCCGATAACGGATGGTTGACTTGGTCCGAGGAGTATATTACCCCTCTGTCTACCAGTGAGAAGGAGGTAAGTACTAAGAACCCTTTCTCGACATCCTGACGTCGTGAGAACCCGAATCTGAAATCCATACTGAAGGCACGAAGTATATGTCCGCGTCGTAGGAATGAAAAAAGTCGTCGCACCTTAATTACTAGGTTCGGAAAACACCTGCGGATTCCAGCAATCATGTCAAGGACGCGTCACCCATTGAGTAGTTCAGGCCGCATAGTATAAGTCCGCACCAGTGAACTAGGCCTGGGGAGTTTGTTGTTCCTTACTATCGCCGTAGCAAGCATTGCAATATTGAAAGTAGACATTTTCGTGACTCCGTGGCATCATAGACAAAGACGAATACTAAGTCGCCATGGCCATGGTTTCGTGAGCGGGCTCCGTGGTATCTTACAAGGCAGTCAGCACGCAAGACCTCAGCCTTCTGTATTCCCAGCAGTGCGATGATGCTACTCCAACCGGGCACATCTGTTAGAATAAAACCTGCTATTTTTGTAACTAACTTTTTCTGAAGTCCGTTCCGCAATCCATAGACGCGACTGACAGACGGCGTATAGGCTAAACGGCAGACCCATTTCCGTGAATGGTATACGTAGAGAGCCTTGCTGGCATCCAACGCGTGACGCGTCTTAAATATGCTTTGGAGTAAGTAAAAGCTGAGTTTAGAAGGGCCCGAAATAGCGAGTGCAGCGAACACCGGCTTCCATGACTCGGCCCACCATTGATGACACCCACGTCAAGAACGGTAAATGTAGACGTGAAGCAGGCCGTCTTTTAGACAAAAATCGCTTGTCTTTTTAGGAGGATTTCGGCCGATTTGAATACGTTGTGAAAATCTCAGCGGCCTCGGTGGGATTATAACCCAGAGCTGTTAGAAGACGACTGCACTATAGCCAACGTTCTAACCAACTTATCCGAGAGGCTGCCACCGGGAATAATTACATTCGGGTCAAGCAATCCGCCCAGCGTACTGCAACGTACGGACTCCCCCAAATCTGATACGGTTATCCGACTGTCCAAGCAGTTTCCTAATCTAGAATCCACCAGATGACTACCACGCACAGTGAATGAGGGGGAGGCATTGTAAAATTTACTTGATTCAGTTGTGAAAAACTCGGCAGCCTCGATGGGATTCGGATCCACACCAGCAAGAGGGGCTTTATTACAGCCATCGTAACTCAGTTGACTAGAGCGTTTGCTGACCTCAAACCTTCCCCCCCTGATGGCATGGGTTCCAATCCCACCGACCTTTTCACAAGGGGGTCAAATAAAGCGTGTTTCTATCCAGGATGTGCCTTAATGGGTGAGCATGACCTGTGTTTACCTAAGCCAGCTGTTAGAACTCCGCCAACCCCTTTATTTCGTCACGCGGTCAAAGCAGCGAACTTTCACTGCCACTCGCTAACTACGATTCCAACTCTCCGTCGGCTGCAGTCATGCACGTGCCAAGCAGCTTATGGCAGGCGCTCTCGCACACGTTAGTACAACGTCCGCGCCTAATGCTGGCGCATGCATCATCCGGCTTCTAGGCTTTTGAACTTCCTCAAAAATTAATTTCTAACTTGAAGTAGATCAGTACATTACAGGTTCTATAGGCGCAGACACAAATTTGGTGTAAATATTTAGACTGATTAGTATGGTAAATAATTGATTAAGTTATCTGGCTTCGTTTCATTGCATACAATTCGCAGAATTAAGGCTCTTTTAGTGCCTGCACTGTTGCGCCCAGACATTACAACACAACCGTCAAACAAATAAGACGGACGGCACCGTAAATAAGAATTGTTATTTCACATCCTTACATAAATAAATCTGAGCC